CTTAGATGGGGGGACGAACAATGTCATCAGCATTTCAACTCGGAGTTCCGCGCGGATGTTTCGGATCGGCGCAGGAGCTCCATCCCTGGCGCGCGAGGCGCCGCCTCTGGGCTCCAGCGCCGGTCCGTGGAATCTGCGCGGACCTCCGAATTCTTATGTTTTCCTTACTGTTAGTCCCCATCAGAGGTAGGAAGAAGCTCCAGGCAGGGCAGGAAAGCCTTGGACGGCCCGTTTCCACCAGGAGCCCGCCCTCGTGAGGCGAGGGGGCGGGGAGCGCGGGCGGGAGAGGAGCAGCGATGGGGGACGGATCGGGGGCGGGAAAGAGCGGGAGGAGGAGCGGGAGAGGCGAGGGTATTGGGGAGCAGGAGGAGAAGGGGGATGATGATGATGATGAACATGATGATGATGATGATGATGATGATGATGATGATGATGATGATGATGATGATGATGATGATGATGATGGTGGTGATGATGATGCTGATGATGATGATGATGCTGATGATGATGATGATGATGATTCTGATGATGATGATGATGACGGCGGCGATGATGATGATGATGATGACGATGACGATGATGACGATGACGATGACGATGATGATGATGATGATGATGATGATGATGATGATGATGACGATGACGATGATGATGATGATGATGATGATGATGATGATGGTGGTGATGATGCTGGATGATGATGCTGATGATGATGATGCTGATGATGATGATGCTGATGATTCTGATGATGATGATGACGGCGGCGATGATGATGATGATGATGATGATGATGATGATGATGATGGACGATGACGATGATGACGATGACGATGACGATGATGATGATGATGATGATGATGATGATGATGATGATGATGATGATGATCACGATGACGATGACGATGACGATGATGATGATGATGATGATGATGATGATGATGATGATGATGATGATGATGATGCTGATGCTGATGCTGATGACGATGATGATGCTGATGCTGATGCTGATGCTGATGCTGCTGATGCTGATGCTGATGCTGATGCGATGCTGATGCTGATGCTGATGCTGATGATGATGATGATGATGATGCTGATGATGATGATGATGATGATGCTGATGATGATGATGATGATGATGATGATGATGATGGAGAGGAGGAGGAGGAGGAGGAGGAGGAGGAGGAGGAGGAGGGGGAGGAAGGAGATGGAGAGGGGAGCGCCACGTTCTGAGAAATTCGAGGCCATCGGGAGTCAAGGAGCAGATGTAGAGGCGCGAGCGAGGAGGAGCAAGAGGCGAGTGGATGGAGCAGGGAGACGGTGGTGCAGGAGCGAAGGGGCGATGTGGGAGCGAGGGAAACGGGAGAGGCGAAGGGAGGGGGGAGCAGGAGCAGGAGCAGGAGCAGGAGGAGGAGGAGAGGCAGGAGGAGGATGAGCAGAAGGAGGAGGTGGAGGAGGATGAGGAGGAGGAGGAACAGGAGGAGGAGAAGGAGCAGGAGGAGGAGGAGGAGGAGCAGGAGGAGGAGAATGAGGAGCAATAGGAGGAGGAGGAGAAGGAGGATGAGGAGCAGGACGGCGACCACACATCGAAGTACTCGTTCCGTCGCAGCAGGGCATCTCCCCTGATCCATGAATTTGGCGAATACGACGATTCATAGTAACAGTACTTTCAATACGCAGGGAGCAGCAGGCAACGAATAATAGTAGTAGGATTATGAACACGACGGACAAGAGCATCACATTACCATACATGCTGCGATCATGCGTACTATTTAAACAGTAGTAATGACACTGCTGATCATAATGCGATTACCCGTACTGGTGCCAAAACCAGTGCTATTCATTATTCGTATTATTAATCGCCGTGCTAAGCACAACCATGCTATATAACCATGCTTACTCATGCTAATACAACTAACTCGTATAAAACATCAGTAGTCACATCGTTCATTTCATGAATAAATCACCATTCGTTGCCAACTCATGCGTTCGACCCATTACTACCCATCGTAGTAACCATACAACAGTAGTATTACGCCATCGTGCGAGTCTTCTTACAACGGTCGATGGTACTAACAGCCAGAAAAGTGGTAATGCCAATGCGATTACTATTGCCAACGCTCAGAACGCCCATGCTATTCGTATTAATGGTGATGGTGGTAGCAGTGCATATAATGTCGCACCGAATCGCACCACCAGTGTAATAGCAATGGTTATAACACATCGACTACTAATAATGTGGATGCTAGTGCTACTAATCCCAGTACCACAACTACTAATATGACTACTAGAAATAGTAGCGATATTAACACGCGTGCTTCTAATACCAGTAATATTCATACTGCTGCGTATACGACTGTTGACTGCGAACAGCCTTCTTAATGCCAAGCTATTAGTAATAGAGTTGTACCAGGAACAGCAAAATTTATACTACTAAGTATACTAGTAGTAATCATATACAGACTTCTTCTTATAATTCAAATGATAATTGTGATGTTGAGATTACCAAGAATAATAACACGGACGCGACTCATCATACGAATGCTAATATTTCTAAGATTGATAAGGGTCATCCATAGTTATCGGGAGGAGGAGGAGGAGGAGGGAGAGGAGGAAGGGGAGGAAGCAGAAGAGGAGGAGGAGGAGGAGAGGGAGGAGGAGGAGGGGGAGGAGAAAGAGGAGGAACAGGAGGATTAGGTAGGAATAGGAGGAGGAGGAGGAGCAGGAGCAGGAGGAGGAGGAGGGCGAGCAAAATGGCCAGACGACTTGCGGATGCTTCTCGCAGTTGTTCTTGTCTCTTTGGGGCGCTCTGAGGGCCTCGTGAGGGTCCTGAGGGCCTCTTGGAGCGCATTGGGTGCATCAGGCAAGCCTCTTGGGGCCTCCTGGGTGTACCTGCTCGGGATCCCTCCCCGAAGGGAAAGGGGAGGTTGGAAAAGGAAACGCTGTAAGCCATTCTCGCCTAGTTGGGCTGTGGGATCCCGACACACAGGACCCCTCTGGAGGATCTCAATTTCCGTCTTTCTGTCAGTGTTCTCTTTTGTAATCGTTTTGGTGTGGTTTTCCATTCTTTCGTCTCTCAGTCGAATTCCTTCGTTGGCGCACCAACATCAGGAATTGTCTTGGATATCCACAACAAAGCGGATCTGATTGGAAACCCATCATGCAAGGAACTTGGGGTGCAACACCACGGAACTTTTTTTGATAAAAGATAGCCCGCAACACAATGAGTTCAATTGTAACTGCACCGCTGTGGGAAATGAATTGTGAACCCGCTGCATCATAACTCGACTGTACATGCTAGGTTAAGGGATCTCACTTGTAAACTACGCACGGAAACATCTACATGTACATCCGGCACACAGTGCATCGATTTGAAAACACATGAACACAATTTAGTTTCACATCAAAGCTCCAGGACCCCAACATAATGAAGTAGTGATGTGAAGCAATCACCCACCAAAACGAACGTCAAATTCCCGTCACACATGGACTTCCACGGTACATCTTTACGATCCAATGTTGCGTGTAACTCCACGTGGTGTTGTTGGTGTTTGCGTGTGTGTGTGTGTGTTTGTGTGTTGTGGTTGGTTTCTTTTTTCATTTGCAGGTTGTACGTTTGATATAAGTTCTCAATCGAATTCGTTTTGTTGTGCACCCGTGAGACACAAGTTAGTTCCAACTCAACAGAAGCATATTTGATGGTAAAGCAGAAATGCACTTGTTTCAAGCGTATGCCTGCCACAACCGAAAAAAAGCCAAGCAATGAATTTAAAAGAAAATTGGAGACGTGGCAAATTGAGTTCCATTGCAAATGAACGACACAAGCCATTTATTAGTATATTCGCTAGAAAAGGAATTCAGTTGCAAATGCCCCACAACATAAAATGATTTGTGCACCCGCCACAAAAAAACTATGTGCAAATGCTGCGCGCATGGCTTCTCTGTGAATCAATCGTATATGGAAATACGGGAAGCAATAAAAACCAGTGATCGTTGAAGAACAGTGGCCCCCGAAACGCCAGCAGAAGGATTTCCAAATGTCAAGCCGCCACAATAGGGCTCACGTGTAAGCCCGCCCCGAAGGTGTGTCTAACTGTAGATCCGCCGCCATATTGGTTTAGTTGTACACCGGTCACAAGGAATGCCTTCTCGTCCTCACCAACGACAGCTCCTGACCGCATTCCGTCCTCCTCCCCTTTCCCCCCGTGCATCCTCCATCATTTCAGTCAGTTTTCCTTCGCGTGGTGTTTCCGTCCGCCCCAACGCGAACCTAGTAGTAGTAGTAGTAGCAGCAGCTCTAGTTGTAGCAGCTGTAGTAGTAGTAAT